CTCAGTTAAGTATCTCCATTACCCTTCTTTCTTTTTTATGATCTATTTAGATAATCATAGAGCTCTATTCTTTTACAGAAGTTTTGGAGTAAGTAAATTTAATCCATTAAAAAAACACTCCAGATAGAATTTGACTAGGAAGACACTGAGTCGGTAATTAGGAGAAAATTAATATTGATATTTTTGAAGAATATCTGGACATTTATTCAAACTATCTTATATGGGCTTTGCTAGGGTTGTTTTTTTTTCCCTGTAGCAGTACTATGTATTCCTGGGTAAACCATACAGTTTAGAAAGCTAACATGCAACATAAAAACTATAGTTCACTATTGTATTGTATACTGGAAATTTGCTAAAAGTTTAGGTGCTCTGATCACACACACAAAAGGAATCATTATATGAGGTGACACATATTTTAATCTGCTTGATTTTTATAATTATATTTCACTATCTACATTCATATCAAAACATCATGCTGCATACCTTAAATGTATCCAATAAAAATAAATAAAACTGTTTACAAACTTTGCTCATATTATAAATGTTGTTTTCTATTTCATTATTTTTCTAATGGATTTCTGGTTTGGAATTAAGACTGTTGCTGTCTGTTGACTAATCTTGATTTGAGAAATCTTTAAAAATTTTATATTAACATTCTGAGAATCTAACCTGTTGATTCTTTTTTCCCCAAACATTTGATCATATCATCTATAAATTATGGTGTTTTTTATCTCTTGCCTTACAAAATTTAAACCTGTATTTCTTTTTCTTTCCTAATAGCTTTGGTGAGTGCCTTGAGTCATACATAAAATGGAAGCAGAGATAGCAGGTCTCTTTGTCATATTCCTCATCTTTAAGTTACTTCAATGAATTATTGTTTTTGATTTTGTGGTATGTAAACCTTAATAAGTTAAGGAAATTTTCTTCTAAGTTTCTGAGAACATGTGCATAGTGAAACATTCATTTTTTGTGTGTTACATGAGACAGTTTTTCTCCTTTAGGCCTTTTTTCATAGCATAAATTAAAATGACTGATTTATTTTTTATTTTATTTTTATTGTTGTGGTTGACTGAGATTAAACCTAGGCCCTTGTAGAGGCTAAGCATACATTCCACCATTGAGCTATAATCTAACCTTCAATGAAGGATTTTTCTGATGCTAAATTCTACTTGCATTCATGGAATAGACCCTACATGATCACCATGTGTCATTTTTAATATACTACTTCAATAACTACTTCAGTTAGCTCCCTTTTAATTTAGATTATTACATCTGTAATAATAAATGAACTGGGTTTATAATTTTTTGCTTGTATTATTTACCTGATTCTAGAATCAGTATTTCAGTGACTTAATAAAAGAAGCTGTGAAGCTTTTGCTCTTCTCCTATTTTTTAAAGCAGCTCTATCTTACAAGTTTGGTAGGATTCATTTGGAAAGCAATATGAGCCCAATGCATTTGGGACAAGGGAGGGGACGTCAAGTATAATCTCAATGACTTATTCCAATTTCTGTCTTTCTGCTTCTATCTTCTGTTTATCTGGTCCCCTTGTTCACAGACACACCTCAGCTCTCCCTGTCCTATTCTCATGCCACACACAATCTGTCTTTGTCTATCTTGACTATTGTATGAGGCAAAAGTTCAAATCCTCCTTTTCCATAAGAGTCAGATCCTAGCTGCTCGTACCATGTGACCCTTTCCTTATTGCCCTGATGGTTCTGTGTGCATATCTTACCTTACTTTTTTTTTTCAAAGTTATTTTATGCATTATTTCCATTTTTACCCAGCCATAGATAATGTCATGTATATAACATGACCTTTACCTCCCTTTGTTTTCTCTAAAACCAAAAATAAATTTTATAAAAGTAGAGAGCATAATGCTAGTAGGTATCTAATTTATTTTTGCCCTTTTCCTTTGTAAACAAATATAGAAAGGTAAAAGCTTTGTACATGAAGACTCTGTGCTTAGTATAAACGTTCCTCTTCACCATGTACATCCCACCCTACCCCACCTGTCCCACAAGCCCTCATTCCAGGCAGAGCGCTTTACCCAGTGAAATCTTTCCTCCCAGGGTCTTAACCTGACTCCCTAAATGTGTCTTCAGTGAGTGAGGATCAGGAAGGAATGAGACTGCTGCCAGACTGGAGAGGTGGAGAAACCACCACCTTTTAAAGGCAAGGCATGGAGTCACATCTAAGCAGAGTCAGGGAGATTTCTAGGAGAGTCCTGCTTAGCACTCACACCCAGTGCAACCTTTTCTAAGAAATATCTCTTTACCATCACCAGTGTTGGGACTATGGAGTTGAAAAACAGTCATTTCTCCCATCCCCCAGTCACGGTGCTTTCACTCTGGTAAGAAAATCAAACATATCAGCAAGTTCCAGGGGCCAGTAGAAGATGCCGGGGCTACTCTAGGGTGAGCCCACCTAGGGTATAGCCCCAACACCCACCTTCAAGGCACTTATGTGAGCTGCCTTGAAGGAAGCAGGACCTGGTCTGTGGAATCTCGGCCCCAGCACACTGTGAAAGCTATCTGGTCCTCTGAGCCTGGGTTTCTTAGTCTCTGAACTGGGGCTGACAGCACGTGCTCTTGAGGAGGACCTGAGGGTTTCAGAGCTGTGTGTGCAGTGTCTGGCATGGTAAGGCTGGGCTCATTGGAGCTGCTGTTCCTCCACAGCTGGTGCCAAGGCTGTCTGCTTCTCCCTGCAGGTGGTGACACCCGACGGGCGTGGGAAGACGCGAGCTAAGTGGGGCCTGCTGAAGAACATCCAGTCTGCCCTTCAGAAGCGCTTCTGAGTCCTGCAGAAACCCTCCGAGATGCGCCACAGAAGAGACATATATATATCACACATGGAGATGTATTTTTCTCACCATTTTCTTTGAGGAGGTGGCGGATGAATGTCCCCAGTGCCTCTGAGCTTTCCAACAGAAGTCTTCTAAGAGCTAATAAAAGGACATGCCTGACCTCATAGCTGGATGTTTGTTCATTATGATGAAACTAAGATTTCAAAACAGGCAGCAAGTCATCTGGTCTCCCTCGGCTCAGGGGCAACCCTGAGCCCCAGATGGGAGGTGCTGTGTGTGCAACAAGAGCCAAGCCCCTGGGTAACAAAAAGAACATCATCTATGGTGGTATTATGATTTTGGTTAGGTGTCCCCTTCAAAAGCTCATGTGTGAGACAATGCAAGAAAGTTTAGAGGAGGAACAATTGGGTTCTAAGAGGTTTAACCTAATCTGTGTATAAATCTCCTGACAAGGATTAAGTTGGTGGTAACTGAAGGCTGGCAGGATGTGGCTGAAGGAGGTGAGTCACTGGGGCTGTGGGTTTATACTTTGTCCTTGATGAGAAGAGCTTTTTCTCTGCTTCTTCACATTCCCAGTTGCTTTCCTCCACCACACTCTTCTGCCATGACATCCTGCCTCCCCTGCAGTCAACAGCAATGGAGTCAGCCATCTATGGACTGAGAACTCTGAACCCAGAAGCTCCCAGATAAACTTCTCCTCCTCTAATTGTGCTTGGCAGGTCTTTGGGGCAGAGCAGCAGGAAAAGCTGACTAGAACAGGTGGGGACGCCTGGGTGGGCATTCTTAAGCTGGCTCGACCAGCTATGGGGAAGTCACCGATTGAAGGGGAACTTATCACCTCACCTTGCAATCTATTTCAATATTAAGCAGCCAGCATAGTGAGAATTCTCTTCTTAATTATTAAGCTTTAACGTGTCTTTCCATGACTGTCACCCCAGGGTCTGAGGCCTGGCTCTGGACTAGAGAAGGAGAGTTATCCCTCTTTTCTCACTCCTTCTGTGCCCCACAGCAAAGGAGAAGCAGCACAATGGCTGGCTTTATTACAGTATTGCAAGAATGGACACCCCAGAGAGCTTTGTTATGATCCTATTACTGTAAATGATGGCTTGAATCCACCATCAAATTTGGTATTACCATATAATCATTTCTGTAAAAAGCTTCAGAATCATCATTAGCATGGAAAGCAAATTAAATGACATGCCAGTGGGGATTTTACCACTGATAAGCTAAAATGAAATTAAACTTAAAAAAAATGTTTAACTGTATGAATATTGCATTATAATGATCACACCTCCTCATGGCACCAACAACGACTGGGCCATCATTTCATAAGCCACAGAACCCTGATCTTGCTTCTCTTGAGAACAGTAAACTTGCCTTCAGAGACCACAAGAGCTGAATTCTCTGCCAAGACCCTTACCCAGGACTGAGCCACTCTACCAAAAACAAGATGGGTCTCCAGACAGCACAAAGATTCCTGGCATGTGGTTTGGACTAGGATTCCAATGGAAACACATACACACCCACACCCAGAATCTTCCTCAAAGTACAATCACATATGTGGATATAAGTACATATGTGGGTATGCTAAACATAACCAGGAGACTCTAAGTCCATGTTTATACCATGTTGTATACATATCCCACCATGCTGGGCCATAATCTCTCTACCTAGCTACATATTTCAATATCCCCAGCAGCTTTTCTTTAGAGAAGATCTATGGTCGTAGTAACACATGATTAGTAGCGAGTCTACTTGGGAACATCTCACAGTGCAATAGAACAGTTGCTAGTTCAATTAATAGTGGGGGTTTGCACCTCTCTCTCTCTTTTTTTAATCCATCGTAGATTCATTCTTTTGTTGAGTACATCTGTAATGAGACCTGGGATTGTGGGGTCACAGCAATGAATTAAACAGACACAGTCCCTGTCCTGTGGGCTTACTTATAATAAGTGGGACAGATCAAGTAAGTAAAGGTTCAAACACAGAGATAACTGGAAATGGAGAGAAGTGCTGGGAGGGAAAGGGACAAGACAACCCAGAAGGAGGTGTCAGCAGAGGGCTCCCCAAAAACATAAAACTTAAGCCAATTCCTCCAGAATGAGAAGGAGCCAGGATATATTCCAAGTGATGTTTCTGTTGTGTAGCCAAGGCTGGGTTAGTTAGGGTTAGTCATGTTAGGGTTAGTCAAGGCCAGAGACACTCTGATTCAGTGTATAGTCTCACCATCATAAACATCAGCTTGTGAGCATGCAGGCCCTCATGTAACCTGTTGGCAGTGTGCCTTGTTTGACCTGCATATAAAAATTGACTATGGAAAATACTTGGGGCTAAATGGGAGCCAAAAATGGACTGGCTGATGACTAAAGCTGAAGGTGGAGGCCGGATGCTGTTGCCACCTCTGAATAAAGCATGTCTACTACCCTTAACGGTGTCTTGCATCTTCTTCCACCTGCTGGGATCCCAAAGCTGCTTCCTGGGTCTGAGCCCTGCATGACACACTCTCACCCCTACCTAGGGTTGGAGGAAAGAAAGAGGGAGGGGTTATCAGAGGCAGAAGCTCAGACAGAGAGGCTCTGAGCTGGGACTTAGATCTCTAAATGGGGGTCACTGCCTGGCTAATGCGGGTGTATCTGAGGCCTTCCCAGGGGCTGGTTCTAAGAATGCAAGGAAAACTGCCAAGAGCTGAGCTGCATGGTGAGGCCACACGGGATGGTGTGCAACCACAGAGGACTTGGCTTCTCCCCTCCCGGGCTTTCTCTGATGTCTCCTAGTAGTGGGGCCCAGTAGAGCCAGGGGCAAAGGAAGAATGCCCTCGGTCACAGTCCAGCCCCACACAGCCTGAGAGCAGCTCTGAGACTCTTAGTCAACAGCTTCATAATCAGCACGATTATGCAAGGTTGGGCCTCCAAGGACAGCCCTGGGCTGGACACACAGAGCAGGACATGAACACAGTTGTCAGTGGACGTGACTGTGATGTTCTAGAACACTAATGAAAGTGAGGGCCCTGAACTTAGCTGGGCTCTGCAGGGTAGACCAGAAAGGCATAAAGCTACTTCCTGTCTTAAGGTTGCTTCTTAACCATAAAATAACCACCAGAGCCAGGTACAGCGGTGCACACCTCTACTCTCAGCAACTCTGGAGGCTGAGGCAGGAGGGTGGCAAGTTTGAGGCCAGCCTGGGCAACTCAGTGAGACTCTGTCTTGAAAAAAACTGTTTTGAAGAGTGGATATACTGCTCAGTGGTAGAGTATTTGCCTAACGTGTGCAAGACCCTGGGTTCAATCCCCAGTGCTGCAAAATAAATAACAAATGTAAATAAAATACAAGAATAACAAAACAGCAAATCCGCACTTGAATACGTGACTTTGTTTTTAGTCTCAAACTCAGATGAGCATTGCCATCATCTATGAAGCTTTTAAAAATACTAAGGCCCAGACTCCACCTCTGGGCCCCTAATCAGGTTCGGCAGGACAGGGGCCTGGAGGGGGGGTTCTAAATGTTTCTGAGTGATTCTGACAACCAGCACTGAACCAACCCAACAAGCACCCTGGTGGCCAAAAGATAGCTCCTGGCAGTGTTCAGACCAAGTTAGGTTTGAAGACTGAGCAGGAATTGGATAAGGAGAAGGCCAGGGTGGGCTGCCAGTGAGCACAGGGCATCTTGAAAAGGACAGAGAGAACCAGGGGCAGGAATGCTCAGGAAATGCTCACTAACTGAGTGGTTAGATTCTTAGCATCCACCATGTCCAGTGCTCCCCTCTTTTTGTTTTGAGGGCTTTTGAGAAGCAAGGTGTGTGGGGAAACGTTGGTTTATTTTTTAAAATGGTTTATTGTTTAAACCATTGCTAACATCTCCAGCTGCTCCCCTTCAAGATGAACCCGTAGATGAATCTCAGATTCCACCCCACGCGTGTCTAACAGGTACCAAGAGAAATGCATGCATTTAATCTGAGCCCTAGGAAGAAAGAGAGGGGGAGCCCAGAGCCAGGCAGGAGGTACACAAGAGGCAAAAAGTCAACGCAGCTCCCAAGGTGGATGAACATGGCCGCCCACAGCCATGGCTTCTGGGACAGCCATCAGCAGCACTGGGCCCCTCTCCCCAGGGGGGAACACAAGCTCAGACTCACACACACACACACACACACACACACACATGCACAGATGCACCATACACACACACACACACACACACACACACACACACACACACCACTGACAGGCCACCCACACTGCACCCCAGACATGCCTGCAGGCCCTGTCCTTGTCCACTATGACGTCTGCACAGATGAGCAGAGGGGGAGGGGACAGCCACTGTGGTGTAAGCAGAAGGAGGGGGTATTTTTCTGGTTTTTCCAAATGTTCTGCAAAGCCATTTTGGCTGAGAATATGGTCTGGTTGCCAGTGAACAACCAGAAGGATTGGGTTGTACAGAAGTTCTCAGAAAAACCAACATGTTCCAAGGCAAATAACTGACTAAATCTAAGGGGGAAACACAAATTGGAGAGATGCCCACAGGGTGTGTGTTACTGAAGAGCTAAACCCGGCCCAGAGGCTTGAACTGTTTACACCAAGTTGTAGAAGTTAACAAAATAGGTTCACAACAGAGCTTCTCAGATTCTGTGCATCTGGGCCTGGCTTCATTTCCATTCCTTTGATTCCACCAGGAGCTATAATTTCTAAATTTTCCTTCAGGAAAAAAAAATAATTTAGCTCAGAAATAATGCTTTCTATATAAAACTGTGGCTGTCTCAGGGCTTAATTCTTTGATTTTTTTTTCTTCCAAGAAAACCATAATAAGAGAGTCTTTCATCTTAATAAAGCCAGACATGGGAAGTTTCTCTCTGAGCACAAAGCAGACAGCAAATTTACTCAATAAAAATTGACCAAGTGCTGCATGAGCCAGGCCCTTGGCATGTAGAGAAATAAAGAAATTCTGCCCTCTGTGGGCTTCCACACAGGGAGTGGTAAGGAAAATTCAAGTCTTACCTATGCAGGCTTTGGAGTCTGGGCCAAGCTTCAAGGAGGAGTGGAGCTTTCTTGGCTCATGAAAATTGAAGAGAATTCAGGAAGTAGGGAAACAGGGCTTGGGCATATTGGGTAGAGAGCCAGCCTCTAGGGGCCAGGCTTACATGTCAGATGCATGAATGAGAAGTCCAGAGGGGCAC